GCACACGTTCCTCTATCCGTTAAAACGGATTCCTTCGTCCGTTTAAACAGGTGGCTTCATCCGTTAAAACGGATGCCACTATCCGTGAAAACGGCTTCTTCCATCCGTTTAAACGGTAACCTTTAACCGTGAAAACGGTTTCTCGAAAGCGTTAAAAAATATCATGGCACCGTTTTAACGTTTTCGAAGACCGTGAAAACGGTTTATTCAAACCGTTCACTATCCGTTTGCAATCCGTTTTTTTGGCCGTTTTAAGGGAAAAACGTTAACGTATGTTTTCCCAAAGAGGCACAGGGGGCAGAGGAGTCGAGTTTATTTATCAAAACAATACAAACGCCGTCTTACCTTGTTAATTGTAATATCTTTCATTGTAGAATCCCCATGTGTGCATTAAAAATGCACATTTTACAATTTATAGCCTGTTGAAATTGTCGTGAAACCATATAAAATTTATAAACATTGTATGCCTTGTATGATTTTTTATTCGTACTTCATGTAACATGAACACCAAATGAATATACTCCGCTGTTCTAGATTATTGTGGGCTCACATTTCACTATACTTAGTAAACAATAAGAAACGAAGAAAGGGAGGAAACAGTCATTGGGGTGATATTTTAAGATGGTTATTACTTGCTTAATATTTCATAAAAATACATAATTTTTTGTATGCAAGCTAGAAATTATCTATTCTTACTACACTAGGAAATAAATTTCAATAAACGGTCGTTTAACCTACATATTTGACGACCGATATTCATCATTTATTTTCGTACGATGTGCACCGCAACACCCTATGACGGAAGTGACGTATTGTTTCGTGTTTATGCATGATTGATTCAAATTTTTCGAATACTAATTACAACTGTCAAATGAAGTTCTGCTTCGTCATTGGTCAATGGCCGGTTTTATTCACTTCCGTCATAGGGTGTTGCGGTGCACATGCGACGAAAGATCTGCAATGTTTCCTCCCTTTCTTCGTTTCTTATTCGTTGATATCTCGGCCATTGTTCGCTAGCTTTTCGGAAAATACAAGTCTACGGTAGTTCAAGGCAGCGGAGTATATTAACGTTGAAATTCATATTTTGGTTTTATATTCGATAATTTTGATGAATAAATATGCATTTTTAATGCAAACATTGGGATTCTACAATGAAATATACTACAATTAACAAGGTAAGACGGTGTTTCTCTTGTTTTACTAGATAAACTCGACTCCTCTGCTCCCTGTGAAAGAGGGTCACATATAAAGCTGAAAAAAATTTTAATTTAACATAATTTATACTTTGTTTTCATAAGTCCTAAATCGAGACTGAAACTATGTGCACACGGGTCACGTTTCGGAGCGTTTTTGCAGTGCCGTTTTCAAATTTAGCGTTTAGGCGCCTTGTTCACATTGATCGTTTTTCTCGCAACATTTTCTGACAAAGCACTAGTTTTTTTATAGTCTTCGTTTCCAAATTCAAACACGGAATTTCATTTTCGCCTTCTACTTTTCTGTTTACACAATAACAAAGTGCCAAAACGACCAAACGTTTCAGACATAGTGAACGAATCTTTGGCATCGTTTTCACTATTTGAAACGTTTTTGCTTGCTGACGTCATAGATTAAGTAAGGACAGATGTGTAACTTCATTAAAAAAGTTGTCCCATGGTCGCCATCTTCCTAGCAAGTGTCGCTCGCGTGATTATTCGTCATTTGGTAGTACGTCATTGCCTTCAAAAATGTTTTCAACACATTTTCTACAACTTTAATTGCTTTTAACAACTTTAAACATTCAACAAATTATGCTCTTGATTGTTTAATCCATAAATTTCGATCCAAAAAAGCCGCAATAAAATGCAAAAGTTCATGTTTTCCAGGACGCTATCTTCCTAGCAAGTGACATGGCGTGAGCATGACGTGTACATCTAGGGAAATTTGAAGACACGAAGTCCTATTCAGTTACACATCTGGTATATACTTCATCTGTGCTGACGTCGCTTTCATACAGTTTTCGTGTGAACTGACTGGCGCGGCTCAATGAATTAATTGCCGCTTTCAACCAGAGGTTTATTTTTCCTCTCCCCTTCGCAATAAAAATAATAAGAATAAACCTCTGGAACCAGGATATCCAAGTATCTGCATGTGATTGCATTAATATTTTGTTTCAATATTTTCATGACAATTTGATGAATTTGACCTTTTTTATCCCTAGGCGCCGAATAGACAATTTATATTTTTTGTATTTTGAGCAGTTCTAAAACTCTTAGTGCCGGATAGTGTTAACTGGGCTTTTGTACGACCCGATTTTCCAAGAGATTAAATTTTATGCGTCAGAAAGCGAGTAAAACAGATATGATCATATGCAACCGATCGCTGATACCGATCGCTGTATGCGGTATGTCTTTCAAAACTGTAGGCTGATCAGAGTTAACAGTAATTTCGCTAAAGAACTAAAGAAAACAAGTCCGTTATGGCATGGCTCGTCTTTCTCTTGGTCTTCTTCTCATGTGCCTGCGGAGTCTTCTTGAGAATCTTGCGCCTCTGACGACTCAAAATATTCTCTTTGGCTTTGACTGCGCTTTGCAGTCTCAAACGGATTAGCTGGTACTTCTTTATGTGCTACTCGCACTCGGTTTCCCTTATGGCAAGTTTGCTCGTGCCTCTTACGGTAATCGTCGGGCCGTATGTTAGATAACTTTTATGGTTAATACCAGTGCTGTGAATACTCGTTACAATTGTAACGCGTTACAGGCTACTCGTTACGTTTGCAGTAATTTTGGCCTGTAATTAATTACATTTTTGAAAAGGAACGAATTATTGTAATTAATTACAAAATAAAGGAACGCGTTCCTTTTGCTTTAACGAATGAAAATTACAAATTCCTTTGATCAAATAATTTAAAAACGCTTTCAAAAACACTTTGTTTTCCATTTTTGTTAAATCCAGAAAATTTTCAATAACTGATTCAAACTTCAAAGTGCCAGTGGAAGTTGTTCAATTGAACTCTAATACTTCATGTAGACTGTAGTGTATTGATATAGTGAAAAGCGTTCCTGCCATGCTTGAACGACTGCGAAATGCTAATATGAACGCTTGAACGTCGAATGCTAATATGGTAGACCATGTTGTAGACAACGACTTTGTCGATTTAGAGAATATAGAGCCAGCCGGGCCCAGTGAACCAGAGTCAGCTGTAAGTGGAGAAGAATCAGAAGACCTTCAAGACCAAGAAGGCAGTCAATCTGCCGCTGTGCAGGATTTCAACGCAGGATTTCAACGTGTTTGTTGTAAACGCAACAACGACCTCTCGTTCCAGTGCCTTTTGTGTAAACCGAAGAAAACCGTGCTTTCCGCATATATTACATCACACCCCAACCTTCCATGCAGCATGCGAGCATCATATTAGCACTAGTGGTCTGATACTGAGGCCCCACCGAAGCAGTCTTAATGACAAACATTTTGAAGCATGCCTCCTCTCAAAGCTTTTAAATAACTTAAAGTTTTTGAAATAGATTCAAAACATTATAATTGATGGGTGTATAACCGTTGAGTTGTTTTTATCGTTTTTCTTCACTTTGCGAACACTGAACATTAATACAAAATTATGATGTGTAATTTGTAATTAATTACATTTTTAAATGGTAATTTTGTTATTGTAATTAATTACTTTCTTGAAGAAGTAATTGTGATCAGTAATTAATTACATTTTAAAGAAAGTAATTTTATTTGTAATTAATTCCTTTTTGGACGGTAATTTTGCAGCACTGGTTAATACGTTTTCCCTCGTGAAATAAATAATAAAGTTTCTACAGTCGTCAAAAGTCGAATTACATTCAAGACACTAAAGTTTTAGTCTTTTTCTTTTGGGTTTTGAACCGCGCATAATTGATAAAGAGTCTTCGCTGATAAGAGCAGTCGAGCGAAGAACATGCCCGGAAATTAAACGTGGGTTTCACATTTCAGCCTCCTGTCGATTTTCGACAAATAAAAGACTAATAGTATTACTAGAAAATAGAAATACATTTAAATGGTTTTGACATAAGGCCAGACAAACCATTATTTTAAATCCAAAATTTATCGCTTTATTTATCGCCTTCGTTCTTGAATGAATGAATGAATGAATGAATGAAAAACTTTATTTTACGAGGGTAGCACATAATAGTGAATTCACACTAACAAACCTGTGGCCCTCAGATACAATAAAATATTACAATAATACATGCTAGATTAACTAAACAATATATACATAAATAAGATTTCTAAAATACAAAATTAGTAGTTTGAAAATATTGTAGTAAAAGTAGTAAAATGTTTATGTTCTTTCTGATATTCTAAAAATATATTAACAATAGACCGTTAAAATGTTTTGGCTGATGCAATGGATCTTATGTTCAGCGGTAAACGGTTCCAAAGTTTACTTGTGCATGTTGAAAACCTTTTACCACCCTCAGTTTGACGATAATATTTCGGCGTTCTAAATAACAGTCCTGCACCACGTGTGGAACGAGAGTGCACTTCGCTATTCAAAACCAGCAAATCTTTCAGATATGTTTCAAATATTCAGATACGTTTATGCGCCAACATGCACCTCCTGATATCTGATTCGACATGAAAAGGAATCCAATTTAGTTGATTAAATGCATCAATAGACGAATGCCGTGGTTCCAAATTTAAAATTATTCTAGCGGCACGCTTCTGAAGCTTGAAAAGTTTCAATATGTTGTCTTGTCTACAATTAGACCAAACAACACTACAGTACATGAGCAACGGCTTGATCATTGCATTATAGAACGAGACTCTTTCAGGAATTGGAAGATATGAGCTGACTCGCTTCAAAATTCCAAGTCGCTTTGAAATTTTCTTTGAAGTAGAATTAAGGTGATTATCAAACGACAGTTCTGAATCAACTCCCACACCCAGAAGTTTAGCGTTACTCACTTGAGAAATGTTTGAGCCATTTGAGTTAATATCAATGCCTGTGGCAACATTTACAGTAGAACGTTTCCTACCAACAACCATAATCTTCGTCTTATCCGCATTCAGTGGTAAATTATTTAAAGTTGCCCATTCATGGACGTTTGCCATTTCCCTTTGTAGCTTATTTTGCAGCTCCTGAATCTGGTCTCTATCACTAGATGCAATAACAATGGTATCATCCGCAAATAACTTAACTTTTACTTAATGACTCAAGTTGTTGATTTTTCCTCCACTTTCTTGACAAACACATATTAATTTAAACACTATTATTTATTTTTGTGGGAAAGGGGTTCGGGGTTGTGAAGAGTCCATTTACAGTATATGACAAGCATCATGCCTACTCATATGTCACACCCTATTAGCTGCACTGATTCTGAACTGGCACTGATAATCTGACCAAGATTCACTTGGACAGTCCTAACCTGACCAACTGGAGCACGAAACCCCAGTATGGACAGTCCTTACCCTGACCAATCGGAGCGCAAAACCCCTATGGACAGTCCTTAACCTGACCAAAGGCACTAAACCCATATGGCCAGTCCTTAAACTGAACATGGGGGGTAAACCCCCATGGACAGTCCTTAGATTTAGATATATTATGTGTGACATATATTGAGTCTATGGGCCTGAAGTTGACATTTTATGGAGACTTCATCCCCACAAATACACAGAATGTGTATTCCCCATAGACGAACCCTCCCCCCGAAACATTGATAGTTCTTTAGCGGTTAGCACATCTGTCAAAGTGGCTGATACCCCAAATAGAGTTGCAAGACAGCTGCTGCCAGATGAAAGTTTGACATATATTTGAGCGTTACCATCACTCATACTATAGCTGGATAGTCAGGGAGGCCAGAAAAAACCTGGAATATACAGGAAACCTGGATGGGGCCAAGACAACCAGCAGCTTCCCCACAAAGCTTCTATATTACAAGTTCTTAATTGGAGGGTTGGTAACACGACAAACAAAGCTCACCATCAAGGCACATTTTATTTATTTATTTATTTTTATTTATTTATTTATTAATTTTTTTTTTTTTATGTAAATGTTTTCATCAAGGCATTTTGCACAACATTTATCACTCTTATTTTATTTCAATTATGATTGGTGGAACTTTCTTGAGTTACGTAACATTACTCTCAGAAATACAGCTTGTTCGTTACTTTAATTCGAAATAGCAGGACCAAATTGCAATTCAGGTGCTTATAACCACAGTATTGCGATCGGACATCCAATCATGCATTCATGATATTAGCAGAAATTGTAAAATATGTATTTGCTAGACTAAATATATCATGCAGTTAATTAAATGATAGTATATGGAAGAATTTTCAATTTTCATGAGCGTAGGCATGCATGGTGTTGTTAATTCAGTACCAATCTTTCATGATATCCATCTTGCCGACTTATCGCAAATGTAGATAAATATATATGTGCAGAGTTTGAAATCTTAAATTTTGTTAACAAATGAGCTTGCTTTCTTATGTTTTGAACAGTAATGTATTGACAATGTATGCAGGTCCAATTAATGTTAGGTTTTATTAACGTGCACTCTGAAATACCTGAAAAAGAAGTTTATAAGTCTACTTTTGAACGATTGAATACAGTTTAATGTAAAGCTTGAATGCTGATTGAAACCCAATCCAACGCCGAATCTGAGGCATAATCTGAAGCCTAATCAGCGGCTAACCTCAAGGTGGTAATAAAATTGTCATTGACTGATTTGACTCATTGGAATTTTTGATCGAGAAATAATACACCAGAATGTAAATGTCGTTATAAAATAGACGAATTTAGTAGATTTTGATTGGTTTGGGAAGCGGAATATGAAATCAGAGGCCCAATCTGGCAGGTTAATAACCTCAATGTAATGCGGTTGACATTGAAATACAGATCGATTTAGCGTGAATAGTCGATACATTTGGCCTTCGACAATTACTATATATACCCAAATTCTGTGATAAAATAGACGAAGTTAAAGCATTTTGGTTGGTTTGAAAAACGGAATACGAAGCAAACGTGTGAATTCACCGCATACTTTATACGCACCAAATATATCCGTTTCACTTTAATAATAAGCATGTACGCTAGTTGAATCCGTGTTTATGTAGCCTCTCGATCTTGTTATAATTCCACCAGCGGCTGACGCTATTAATAACTTCATCGGTACTTGAGCCAACGTATTCATTAGTCCACCAGAAGAGTAAAAGCACTTGACTACGGTAGAGTTATATTGGATAAACTGCGTCTCACTGGATAGTACATCGATACTTCAGCCAACGTATTCTTTTGTCCACCAGACGAGTACAAGTCCTTGCCCGCGGCAGAGTTATGTTTGAATAAACTACGTCTCCCTGAATCACATATCGGTACTTGAGCCAACGTATTCCTTTGTCCACCAGAAGAGTAAAAAAGTGCTTGCCCGCGGTAGAGTTATATTTTGAAAATCTTTCGATAATGTTACTCTGTCGACATCTCAGAGTAAATTACGTTATTTTGCATAAACTCGTGCATGTTATGTGCCAATTAGGATGGGCTGTATTATGCCCTGTGATTGGTCAAAGCACAGAACAGAGTCATACAAGGTTTTCAATTGGTTCACAGTATGTTTCACGGTTTGTTCACGTGAATGTGTGCTAGCTGGCAGAAAATGATCTTTGACCTATCTGTCAAGATCTTTGACCAAACTGTCAAAGATTAGGTTGATATAAACCATATCTACCTCCTCATCTTACCATCACACCTTGTCTCATTAACTTAAATTTATATAGGCTATAAATTTGCTAATTTGCTGAATGCCGATTTCGCAATTTGCCGAACAGTAACGAAGCAATTTGCCGACTGGGGCCGACTTGCGAAAATTATTGGGGGGGGGGGGGGTGAAGCACCCCCCCCCCCCGCTCGCGACGGCCCTGCGTTTGCACTCCCTACAACTTCTCGTACATAATTTTTATTCTTCTTTGGTGTCCACTGATGAATTCGGGTTGTGCATGCCCTATTATACTAACGGTTGAGGGGATCTTTGTACACGTGATCTAGCAAGTTGTGTGACTTGTACCAGCCAAACAACGTTGGGTTATGAAAGTTTGGGTTGTCGTTGCTAGATCGTTCCAGCTCTTAGATTCTGTTTATGTAAGGCGTTGTCGCACTGGTCGAGTCGGTTCGCTGGTCAATCGATCAATGTTAAAATATGTTCACAACTTAAAATATTTATCAATATATCATAGCACAATCTTCAAACTATACCTATGTGAACCTTCCTTTACCTAATAAACTAAATTCACTTACAATCTTATTGAACCAAGATTTTGGCGCCGTAATGTCATAATTACTCGACCGGGCGAAATATACCAAGGAATGACTGACACATTCAAGGTCAATGACGAACCAGCCTTGGACTTTGAATTATATAAACAAAACAGCTATAAATATAATTCAACATTAACATGCGTGCGTTATAATATATCGAGTTCATCGATACATCGTGCGTTAGATATTTACCAAGTTCATACGATGACAAAGCTGTCCGGTAATGATACCTTTTTGCTATCATTATGAAGGGAAATGACCAAGTACAAATAAAAAAATGATTGCAAAACTATTGAAAATCAATGCCATGGCCATGTGGATCTAAAATCATGAGTTTTAATTTAAAAAGCCCCGACATACATTGTGTATAAAAAAATAAATTCATATTAGGCATGACGTATTGTAGTAATACATGAATCAGGAATCCGGCCGCAAATCGTGGCCACGTGGCCAATCATTCCCACCGTGGCCAAGCTAACTTTTCAGCTTGTCCGGTGCAATGGATTCACACTCAGAGTAACATCACAAACATCATATTCACCTGAGTACACAACACCAACACACACAAAATCACTCCTGCATGTTTTGTTTCCAAATTGCATGCACGTACTCGAAACCATCCTATTACCTATGTTAACAACGGTAGTTATCGCATGCAAATTACATTTAACTTTAATAACTTTTTTATACAACCGGCTCCGGTCCGTTTTATACGTATTTACTTCAACATGTTTCTACATTATTTCAAACCGACTGTTCTTGCTGGGCACTTGCATTCATATCCTCTCTACAACCACCAAAAACCATGTCATTCGATACTTTGTTGTTTGGGATGTTATTCAAGAGTAACGGTTCATCGCAGCCATTTCCAAAGTCGTTATTGTCCTGAAAAGGAAGTCGGAAATGGATTAGTTTAACATGGTTGAAAAATACGAGATTAGAGTTAGGTTAATGCATGTTGTTACTTGTCTCACGACCAATGTCATTCATTCATTAACCCATCGCAGTAAAAGAGGAGGTAGAGGTCCAACTAAAATATATGTGTAACTATAAACTATATGAACGTTCCTTGTTGTGGATGGATTGTGAGAATCACTAGTAGGTGCCCATTTTATTGACAATCACCACCTGGATTCACGTTGAATTAAACTGGACGGGTTATGGCTAGATATCATGAATGCTCCCCGGGTTACTCAGATCAACATAAATGTGAAACAGCTTTATTGGAAATTTTGTTAAGTGTTAATGCACGTTCCATTGTCGAATTATCGGCAAGGCATGAATCTATTCACTGATATTGGTCGCGCACTTGAACGCCGCAGAGTTATGGGTCGTGGATCGATCAATCAATATCATTGTTCAATCCCGTGTGACCAGGGAAACTCAAAGATGGCTCTGGGTACGAGATTAATACAAACACATACTCAGACACATAGAAACACATACTCTGACAAATATATCAACGTTATATTTTTGCGGCGTTCAGTTAGAAGATAATTTTTGCGTACTTTCAGTCTTTCAACGTTTTGGGAGCGATCATTATTTATGGCGGGCTATGGGACCGAAGAGAAACGTCGTTATATATTTGCGGCTTTTTCAGTTGGTACTATCCGGTTTTGTTGCTTTGATATTGCTTTAATTTACCTGGTTTAATTTTTCGTCCTCTTCTTCACAATCTAAAGTAAACAAAACAAGTCTATTGTACGTAATTACGATAACCTAATTTGAGCATGTGGACGATATATTGGAACGAATGGCTATTCTCAGAATTTGAAATAATGACCGGGAATTTCTTTCAAGTGTATTTTTATTTCCTGCTGTTCATACCACCACGACTATGTCCAGTACAAAATATCATCACAGTTATATCAACGCAGTCTGTGTAGAAAACACGCGATGCGAGAAGGCCACCCGATAGGAAATTTAGGAAAGAGGAAAGGGGTTGGAACTCCGAACTTTTGCCGTTCGATTTCCAAAAATATACGCGATTCCGAAATTGTTTTGGTATAAGTACTGATTAAACTGAATGAGATATAGGTGAATATTTAACTTTAGTATTTTTGCACAAGTGAACATAACAAATCCCACAAGGTGATTGGTCAAATTTGACACATTAATCTGTTATATTCACCTACAGGTGAATATAACAGAATCGAAACTTTCAAAATGGCGGATAGCCGTTTTGTTGAAGTTAGGCTGGGATTACACTATACCGGATTGATTTTGATACCGGATCAATTTTCACACCGAAGCCAAAATCAAGGGTGTTTACACTATGCCGCTTCGCTCTGTCGCCAGTTCGTATCTTTTATCGTTGCCACGGAAACAAATAATAAGTTTTGACCATTTTGGACGTTTTCTCGACAGTACTTGTGAATTATAACTTTGTTTACAAAGCTTGACCACCCAACGTTGCTTTGTCTCGCTCTTATCGAAAATTTATGAGTATTTCATTACATTTTGCCCTTTTGAAAGCAAGAAGTCAATGTTATTACCGCTATCTTTATTTGTCTTCGCTAGAAATAATAAATAATTGTAAAGCGAAGCAAACAACAGCTATAAAATATTTAAAAGCGAGTAAATAAAACGACAATGTTAAAATATTGTTACGAAAGTATATCTAAATAGTATAAAAATAGTTCAATTTGCACCCCAGGTAATTATAGATACTAGTTACGTCAAATGGAGAGATAATGAGCATTTTTGCTGTAAAACACAGATAAAGTATATATCATTTCGGACTTGTGTAAAAGTGTAAATTATCTGTCCATTTGGCAAGATAAATGATTTGTCAAACTGTCAAAGTTGGACGATAGCCTTGCATGGTGGGCTGTTGTGTTTACATAATTCAAAGTCCAAGGCATGCTTAGGGCCTTTCTGTCAATCATTCTTCGGTATATTTCGCGCGGTTGAGTAATGATAACATTACGTCATCAAAATCTTGGTTCAATAAAATTGTAAGTAAATTTAGTTTAGTAGGTAAAGTAAGGTTCACATAGGTATAGGTTGAAGTTTTTACTATGATATTTTGATGAGTATTTTAAGTTGTGAACATGTTTTAATGATGATCGATTGAACAGCGAACCAACTCGACCAGTGCGACAATGCCTTAAATAAACAGAATGTGAGAGCTGGAACGAGCTAGTAACGCCAACCCACACCTTTAAACCTCAACGTTGATTGGCTGGATACAAATCACACCACTTGCTACATCACGTGTAGAAAGATTCCTCAACCGTTAGTATAAAAGGGCGCGCACAACCCAAATTCGTCAGTGGACGTATGCTGAATAAAACTTAACTGATGAAAAGCTGCAGAAACTCAAACGAAACAAACGAACGACGAAGAAATAAACGAAACAGATCACGAACAGTGAAAGCCAGTTGAAGGCTGAAGTGAACTCTTGGAAAACTACTGCAAGGAGACGAACACTAAAAACTGATAGTTACTAGAGATTGATTGTAAACGATTCCCTACCTTGCGTAGAAAAAGAAATAAAATATATATTTCTAACAATATACTTGCCGAAACCTATTTATAGTACCGGAGCGTACCGGATTGCCTGATAAGACTTGGTTTTATCCGGTACAGCACGTACCGGATTACTTTTCATATCACCTCCAAAGCGAAGTGATTTTCGCGCCGCGGCACGTACCGGATTACAGTGGCGTAGTGTAAACAAGAGGCCAATCCGCTACAGAAACCGCGTCGCTTCGATGCAATCCGGTTCAGTGTAATCGGGGCCTTAGTGATAAAGAAATAAGCGAAATTAAAATGAATTCAGACCGGAAAAACACAAAAAGAACTTGTCCGAAAAAACTAGAACAATTATTCGCCTCAGGCTCGGTGATTATCCGGGAATATTCCCCAATAATCACCTCGCTTTCGGCGAATAGTTGTTAAATATTCCAGCCCATATATTACAATCAATTTGTTCCATAACTTATATGGACATGACTTCCATCCAAAATATTAATGCGGTTGGAACTTTCAGGGATGTATGTGTACATACTCAAATAATTTATTTTAAAACGTAAAACACTGTTGTCACACAGTTGTGAATATCCCTTGTAGAATCAAACACTATTTAATTGCTATTTAATTCCTATTTTATTGGGCTATTTAATTCCTATTTATCAAAGTATTTATTTCCTATTTTCACTATTATTTTTTTTCGAGGTTTTTCCTATTTAAATTAGGGTAGAAAGGGTATTTTTTTCCTATCCAAGTGGAACCATATTTTTTTCCTATTCATGATATATTTCTAAACAAATACTTAATTGATGTACTCGAATAGAAATTAAATAGGTTTCAAATATGATAAAAATAGAGCTATTTAAGGAAATTATTAAAAATATTTAGTTTCGACATAGTTAATAAATATGTATGAAATAGTTAAAACATAGTGACAATATAGGTAAAAAATATGTAATAAATAGGTGAAATGTGTTTCAACAAAGTTTAAAATAGTCAATAAATAGTTAAAAAATAGTGAGAATAGAGTTTAAAAGTAGATAATAAATAGTTCAAAAATAGTGAGATTATAGTTTAACAATAGATAATACATAGTTCAAACATAGTGATAATATAGTTTAAAAATAAATAATAAATAGCTCAAAAATAGTGATAATATAGTTTAAAATAGATAATAAATAGTTCAAAAATAGTGATAATATAGTTTAAAAATAGATAATAAATAGTTCGAAAATAGTGATAATATAGTTTAAAAATAGATAATACATAGTTCAAAAATAGTGATAATATAGCTTAAAAATAGATAATAAATAGTTAAAATACATCCCAGCTTGTTAAAAATAGCTAATAAATAGTGGATATAATATTGCCCAAATAGATTAAAAATAGTAATAACATATTAAATAAATAGTTAAAATATGTCCTGTTAATACAGTTAGAATAGTTATTAAATATAGTGTATACAAATACATGTAGCCTATAAATATTTTTAAAATATATTATAATTACCAGTAGTTAAAACATAGATAATAGGCTAAAAAGTTAAAACATATAATGTAAATAGTCTTGAAATAAAATATAATTAGTAAAAGAAATTGAGAACAAGTGTAGAAGTGCTGAAACATCAGAGGCTATTACAGACCTACTTTAGTATTTCTCGTCTATAAATGCCAGACAATTTTACTTATCAGTAGGTAGAGGTCTGTCAATAAATGAGTTAAAAATCTGTAGTTAGTAGTCTCTATGGTAGCCAAAGAGTTAAGTATATACGTACAGTAACTTGGCTGGGGACTGGGCAGAAGAAAAGCAAGAACATCATGTAACATCAAGAATAGGGCGAAGCTCGGCTGCAGCTAAGTTCAGGCCTTCTTTACAGGTTAGAAAAAAAACATTTATATATGTGAATAATACCCTGAATCTAGCTGGATATTTTTCAACTATCCAACATATATCATGTATGTAGCTGGATAGCAAAAACATTCTATCTTGCACACCCCTACAAAGAACTTCAAGTAGGTAACATAAGAGGAAATTGCTCCTTTATAGGTGTTATAGGTAATATTTAGGTGAGATATGGGCCAGCATGCCACAGTCGGTAAGTAAAATTGTCTACCATGAAATGTCAGAGTTAAATAATAATATCAAAGTACTTAAGTAGGAAGTGTTATATGTCAACATGAAACATGGGCACAGTCTAGCACTCTAGCTAGACACTTCCCTTGACAAATAAAATTGTCCGGCATTAGGCAAGATAACATTTAATAGCAAAGTGTTACGAAACATTATTACTTATACATAGAATTTTAGGGTAAAAATACAAAACACAGAAGATGTTTGCTTGAGAGCAGGTGAAATGTTTGTTCAAGCAAATATTATCCAAAGCATAATGAGAAGAGATAATGGATATTTGGCCACAAATCAAAGTAACGTAAATATTTCGATTCTTCGGAGAACATTCATTATTTCGTCCATTAATCTATGACAGTTTGTTAGACTAGCTGCAGTTGTGTATGTGGAAATGTCATGTTTTGATTGACCTGTTTCCTATAGTTTGTCTTGTGGGCAGATCTGTTTAAACAGGACAGCTGCCTTGGGTCTCATGAACATCGACCTTTTCACGTGGACAGACTAAGGCGTAAAATATGAGTCATCCCAAGCTAGATAACACTCGGTCACGAAATCTACATATTACGTCATTAGAATCTTAGTTCGATAAAATTACGAGTAACTTTAGGTTAGTAGGTCAAATAAGGTTCACATAGGTATAGTTTGAAGTTTTTACTATGATATTTTGATAAGTATTTTAAGTTGTGAACTTATTTTAACATTGATCGATTGAACAGCGAACCGACTCGAACTTTACGACAACGCCTTAAATAAACATAATGTGAGGGCTGGAACGAGCTAGCAAAGCCAACCCACTCTTCCATAGCTCAACGTTGATTGGCTGGATACAGATCACACCACTTCTTAGACCACGTGTACAAAGATTCCCTCAACCGTTAGTATAAAAGAGCGTGCACAGTGAAAGTCGACAGTGGACTCAACGAAGTAAAAATTATGTATGAAAAGTTGCAGAAAGCTCAAACGAAACAAGACAAAACGACAAAGAATACGAACTAAAAACAACGAAGAAAGGCTGAAGAAAGAAGATAACCTCGAAAAAGAACGATTTGATTATAGTGACAATAAATAGAGACAATG